CCCCCCCCCCCGGCCTCGGCATCAGCTGCTGCCTCCAGGTTCCTGCCCTGCTTGAGTGTCTGCCCTGACTTCCCTGGATGATGGACTACAAACCCTTGCCTCCCCGAGCTCCTTTGGGTCATGGTGTTTTGTTTTGTTTTGTTTTTGTTTTTAAGATTTTATTTATGTATTATGTATACAACATTCTGCTTCCATGTCTATCTGCACACCAGAAGAGGGCACCAGATCTTACTACATATGGTTGTGAGCCACCACGTGGTTGCTGGGAATTGAACTCAGGACCTCTGAAAGAGCAGTCGGTACTCTTAACCGCTGAGTCATCTCTCCAGCCCCGGGTCATGGTGTTTTAACACAGCACTAGGAACCTAACCGAGACATTTGGTCATCAGGACCTCATGAGGAGGGTGGATTATCTCAACTTCTCAGGGAGGAATTCTCCCAGCAGAGGGGAACAGGCGAACTACTGAGACCCTGCTCAGAGTTCTCAGATGCTCGCTCTAAATCAAATTTCAGTCACCTGAAGAGCTTGTTTGGAATTCTCTGTCCCCCCAATCTGTGCTTCTATACACACACACACACACACACACACACACACACACACACACACACACAGCTTGTTTGTGATCATCACCCCCAACCTGTGCAAACACTCGGACACACGCTTCTATGTGTGTTTCAAGATGATATAACTCTTTCCCCACTGGGTCACAATCTGTCCACAGGAAATAGTGCATGCAAGTGGCAATTTCTACACTATCCAAGGAATCATAAAGGGCTGCCCGAGGGAACCCCGCAACTCACCGTCGGTGTCTGGAACACAGCGTTGCCACCCCAGTTTTCCCCTGACGCAGAGCACTTGGGTCTACGGTGCAGGAGCTGTTTTCTCAGCACTAACTGGGATAACTGTTCTTCGCTTAAGTCCTCTGCAGGGAACTCCTTGGTCTCACGCACAGCCTTTAAGTCTTAGAGAAATTAACACAGCAAACAGCTCTTATTATGTGTTGCATGGTGGGAGGGCACACATGTCGTGCACAGATGTACTTGCAGGCAGAATGCCACACACACAAAATAAATTTAAAAAAATAAATAAATAAAGCCAATGGCGCTGGAGAGATGGCTCAGTGGTTAAGAGCACCGGCTGCTCTTCCCGAGGACCTGGGTTCAATTCCCATGGGGGACCTGAATGGTGGCTCCCAACTGTGGGCAACTCTAGTTCCAGGAGAGCTACTGTCCTCTTTGCAGGCTCCACGCATGCATGTGCTGCGGTGCCCAGATACACGCACTGGCACAACACCCACACACATGAAATTATCAAAAAAGGACAGTCATAGCCCAGCGGTGGTGGCGAACGCCTTTGATCCCAGCACTCTGGAGGAAGAAGCAGGAGGATCTCTGTGAGTTTGAGACCAGCCTGGTCTACAGGAACTAGCTCCAGGACAGCCTCCAAAGCCACAGAGAAACCCTGTCTCGAAAAACCAAAAAAAAAAAAAAAAAAAAAAAAAAAAAGACAGTCATAGAGGAAGACTGTGCTGGACACATAAACACACACACACACACACTCTCACATACACATGATCACCTAAAAATACACATGTACACAAACACATTTAAAAAAAAAAAAAAAGAAGAAGAGTTCATAAGACTGAAAAGCAAAGGAAGGATGTAGGAAAGTCAATGAATTATCTGTAAGGGGATGCAGCCATGCTGGAGAGTGGAGAGGAGGCCTGAAGACACAAAATCCCTGCTTAAGAGGCCACA